AAGATATTTATGGTGCAACTTAAAAAAAGCTCTTTTGTTTTGCGGCAAGTGGTGGCTGGTTAATAGCAGACAGGAGGTACTCAAGCATCTTGCTCTTTAGAACAATCAGGACTTTAAACTAAGACTGAAAGAGGTGAGAATGGGATTTCCCGCACCTCACTCCTGGTGACTACAAGGCAGCCACTCTGTCCCAACAACTCACCAGGAGCTCCTTTATGTTCAGCGGAGAGTCAGTGTGTCACCAAGTGAAGATCACAGAATCATAGACAAAATTACAACAGATTCCCCCTGTTTGCTAATTAATATTAGTATTGCAAAGCAGAGGAGAAAATGAAGAGCTGGTACCTCCCTTGATACAGAGGTACCTTTGTTGTTGAGATCCTGAAGGGCAGTTGATCACAGTCTCTTTCCTAAACTCCTGAGCAGTGCTGTTAAGAGAAGGAAACTTCTTCATGTCAACTCTTTGGAGCTCACAGACCTTTTCCAAGCAACTGTTAGGGTTCTCAGGGCTCACAAGTAGAGAAATTCTCCTCTGCTGAGTGTGACTGTCCTACCACAATTTCTTATTTTCCTTCCTATAAATTGGTGAGGTCATTGTTAACAAGCCCATCACTATAGGTCCCAGGTATCTTACAGCATGTTATTTCTCACTGGTGTTTATTAAGTGATCCGACATGTTCAATCTGGAGAGAAAGGGGAAGACTTTTCTTAATGACACATAGCTGCAAGGCTTTTCCAAATCTGAAAGAATACCTTCTGAGATTAGATCAGCTAGATCTAGAAAAACTAGAAGGACAAAGGTCTCCAATAGTGCAAAAAGCTGACTCTGAAGCTTGGCCAGGTGTGACAGGGTCAGCAGTCCAGCCAGGGGAGGAACAAAGAGTTGGACAGACTAAGAAGGCAGCCAGGCAATTACTCATTTAGTAAGCATCTTTTATTGCTTTTGTGAAGCATGATTCATCTCTTAATATGTGCAGGGACAGTCAATCCTCTGGCTGTGCAAATGAATCACCACACACTCCCCAGTCCCTGTTCCCACGAGGCCAAGACCCTGCACAGCCAAAACAAACCCTCAGAGGAAGCAGGTCTGAAAGTCAGCAACCACTCACATAAAAAACCCACAAACAAAAGCTCACATATTTAAAGGGCTAGAACCCCCCCTCCCATCATGGATTGGGTGTTCCAGATGAGTATACTCGTTATGAGACAGCTCACACCTCCAAAGAACGTGGCATTGGTTGCTCAAGAGAGAAATAAAGGCATGGAAGAACAATTGGGACCTGAAAAGGTTTCTTTGACAACCATGTTCGTACCTGCTTTCAACACAAGCATTTTGTATCTCAGGAGATTTATCAAAGGTGGAAGAAGGAAGCCAAGATTCACAAGGCTGTCCCCCACTAACAGGGTCTCTCCCATCTCCTTTTTCTTATCCTCACATGCTGCTGATGCCGATGTCCATAAAGGATGTCCACAAGGAGTTGGCACACTGCTGTCCTGCCTGCAAGGGGCTGCCTATAAGCTTCCCAAAAAATTTCACTGCAGCAATGGAATGAGGCAAGTACACGACAAATGCAATATTTCTCCTGAACTGCAGCAAGTTAATGACATTTCCCTCTCCCTTTGCACCTCTGTAAATCACGGTGTGACTGTGGAACTCAACAATGTTACACTGATGTAAAACCATCCTCGAGAGGAACCAGTCAGCATAAATCATCCCTTTCTATTTCCTAGTACATAATCTGGTGCCAAGCTCCACCAAAAACAAGGAAAAAACATTCCCAAGATTTTTTCAAAGGCAATAGTCTGTCTAAGCACAAGCTTAAATGTCTGCCATTAAAGTTTTATCTCATTAAAATGACTTGCAAAACCATCTGCTAGCTAATAAAGACTTTTTAAAGCTTTAATATTGTATTTTATTATGAAATACACTAAGGGAAAAACAGGACATGTATTTAAAAAGACAGAACAGCAACAATCTGCTGTTCTTTCACAGAAATCCAATAATGTTCACTTCCCTGACTAATTAAAGAGACTGAAGACCTCAGCCCTTTGAATGTTTCTTGTACAAATACTGTAATTCCTAAATGCCTCTACATTCTTCTTCACTGCGTCCTTGCTGATATCACTGTCAGGTTTAAAAAGGAAGATTTCACTTTCATGTCTGACTCCATTTCATTTTGTTAGCTTTTCACACCTTAAATATTCATTACAAACTGCAGAGATTCCAGCAGGTAACTTTGCTTCCTCTAGAGACTTTCTGGTTTTGCTGGCAGATGGGGTGATCACGAGTTTGAGTTCCACCTACCCATAAGGGTGACTCTGGCACAGGACTGAGTCTCACAAAGCACTGACGGCTGCACCATCCAAGGATGCAACCCAAGGTTTTGATGAGTTACCATCCAGAAGCAAAACCCACTCCTGTCCCTACAGCTCTCCTCCAGTGTAGGCTGGGCAGTAGTCACTCCTACTTTCCAATTAGACTAGACAGTGCCATGCTCCCAGCTCAGTCCTTTCTCACATGTTGCAGCCTCAGACAAAAGGACTCTCTTCATTACATCCTTCTTGCTGTTCCTGGATGCTGCTGTGGCTGCGACATTGGTGCTTTCTGCACTGATCTCACAGTATCTGCAACAGTGCCTGACACAAGTGAGAGCAGCACTCCCAGAAAGCGTTTCACAACATCCATCTCTTCCAAAAACACCAATGACTGCATGTTACAGAGAAGGGCAGACAACACAGGCTGTAAGGGTCTACATGTAAGGGGGACTTAGCAGCCCCATGCCAGCTTGCCAGAAGTCCTCGGTGGTTCTAGATTCCCTCAGCTTCCACATTTATTTCCTTCAGCTACCCATAAGAAATTGTACAAGACATGAGATCATCAGAGACAGCAAAGCAGACTCAGAGCAAAGGCATGGCTGAAACCTCCAAGTACCAGAACTGCTTGCTCTTTCCAGGAACAGGAGCTACTGTGTCCCAGTCCTTTTGCCTGCTGAGTCATTGCTGGGGAGGATCTGGCAGCAAGTGAGCTATAGTCACTAGCTGGAGAGCAAGTCAGGCACCATGCCCATGTGAGCAGTTAAGAGTGAAGAGTAAGGGATATCATGGGGAGCTATCTGATACAGTTTCACACACACACGAACACACTCCTTCCTTTGCAGTATTAGGAAACACAGAGACTTGTCTCACAGTGAAATGAGGAGGAATTTCAGACCACAGCTTACCAGCCTGGGTCTCCTCCACTGTGTTTGCTACTTGGTTCTCCACCTCTGCTGAGGGACATCCCTGTCTCTGACATCTGGAGCAACTGATGCTTGCATGCTCCAAGTTTCACCACAAAGCAGCCTGTGCTGCTTTCCTTCTCTTTTTGTCTCACTTAACATCTCTGCTCTTCAGTAGTGATTGCTTACTCCTGCTGAGCACTGAGCACTCTTCACTCTGAGCTCACTTTCTTGCAGAAGGAAAGCTGCAATCCCCAGCAAGGTTCTTGCAATTTATCATAGTAGAGGGAGTAACTTAAAAGTAGACACACACATCCCAAGCCTCTCAAAAGCATTTTCTAGGATGGCAAGGTAGCCTATGCCCCAATCAATCTAAGATCTACCCAAGAATTTAATGATAGCTAAGCCTGGCTGGGAAAGTAGGCTTGAAATGACACTGGAAGAGCCACACCCTTCCTTCCAAACCTCATCTAAGTCCTGTAATAGCTGTGTCTTCATCCTGCCTACTTCTGACCTTGACTTGAGGTGTCACAGATGGCCTCAATTGCTTATCTCCTTCCAAGCATCATACATGCTGTAGTAGTCAAGGTGGATTAATGGATGGGACTGATCCATGGGCTGAACACAGCCCTTGGGACCCCCAAACTACCTCTCTGCACAGTGGTATTAATACAGCTGCTTGTCCCCACTGATGTGTGCAGCAGACTGGGACAGTTGTAATCTCCTAATTGATGGACTATCACCTGTCATCTGAGATGTAGTCCCTTTCACACTGGTATTATATCCACAAGCAGTGACAACACTTAGGGTCTAAGCTGGGCAGCTCTACAAGGGTTGATAGAGACCTTTTGCTTGCCAAGTGGCTAGGGGAGTCTACACTTGCACGAGTGCCAAGAACGTTGGCCAAAAGTGTTTTAGATGGCATTTTATTAATGTAGTGCAGCCAGCTCCTCTGAAAAAGGATAAAATGTACAGGGAAGATGAACAAGTGGAAAGATCCTTCATCTGACTGCAGGCAGCAAAATCCTCTCAGTCTCTTCCTTGTAGTGCCTGGTGGTCCAAAAAGAGAACACAATGATTCACATCGCACTGATTTGCTGTTGGAAACCTCAGAGCTTACGGTAGACCCTACTGATTTAATGCAGCAAGCAGCAGTATCAAGCAGTATTTCCCAGTGGCCTGGTGTTAGTTTGCTTGAAAATCGTGGCTAAAGTTCTGAAGCCATCTGCTTTAGCTATATTCTACCCTGTGTCAACCCATGAATCTTACTTGGATTGTACTGGTATGTGTGCAGACTTTCCCCTGGTGAGCTCTCAGTGCATGTGTGCAGGAATCAAAGCAGGTACAAAGAGCAAAGACCCACGTGCACAAATGGTAGATGCGGATTTTGGCCTTCAAACTGTGTTGACCAGATGCTGATAAAATAACATGATTTTTAACTTGCACACACCTTATTTATCAAGATATCACAACTTCCAGAAACAAGCACTGGAAGAGTTCCACTAAACACACACACTACACATTGTTCCTACAGTTAGTTAATTATATAGCTCAGTGGAAAAGACTTGTTAATGTTATGCAGTTTACAGAAAATATCTACATTTATCAGTGGAACAACATTTGTAAAAAACACTTGCCTGATTAGACATGTCTTCCCTTTTACAGACGAAAGAAACCTCCAAATTATAAATTTTGGCCACTATAAACCAACCATGCAGCAATCAAAAACAAATGTTCATAAGAATGAAGATAGAAAAATCAGAAATTAGAAGGAGAGCATCATAAAAGATGGATTCTGCAAGGGTTTATTTTTTTACTTACAGCAAATATATTAGTGTAAAAAAGCTTAACATGGCTCATATTGTGGTTGTGTAAGGACTATACATATGCTTACATCAAACGGGTTTAACTTCCTTGGCACTACTCAAACCAAATGCAAGAATGCAACATAAAATTAAGAAACAGAACATTTATTAGGCAAATTCTACACATCTGTGGCTGGAGTTTCAATGCAATCCGAAGAATACGAACAAGCCATCAGGATGGCAAGAACTTTTTCAACAAACATGTTTAATCCTCAAGACAAGGCTGTCTGGCAACATTTAAAAGTTGCTGTACCGAACACAGTGATTTTAAGGAAATGTCATAGATGATTAAGACACTGAAAATGCACTCGCCACACTGAAGAATCCCATTATTTTTCTTATTTTTGTCATTTTTTTTGACTCCCACCATGCAAAAATGTGAAAAGGCTGCATGGCAGACAAGCTGAATGCACCTGCTGGAGGGCTTTGCCTGTCAAAAACAAAGTGGCTTGCAGCAACGGACATGCTTTATGCAACAAACCCAATGATATATAGCTTGTGTGAGTTCAAATACAAAGATCTAGGAACAACAGATGTTGAAGCCTTATAAGCTCTCTTCATTATAATCAGAATCCTGAGAAAAGCAGGGTCCAAATTACTCCAAGTGAATTTAGGCTTACTTACATGCAACAAAATTGTCCAGATACCTCAACAGTAGTAAACAGAGTTAATGCAGTGTTAATCTTTCTACATTTTAATGACTAGCTATAAAAACAGAAACTAGCGTGTCCTAATCTGTTTACATTTCCTGAGCTTAGTTAAATCAAGAAGGAATGAACATTATAAAAATCCTGGTAAGTCACCAATAAATTAAAAATGTACATAACCACTATCACTTAAGAAGCTTTACAACACTCGGAGTGAAGTCTGCCTGTCTGATTACCATGGCTTTTCCTTTAGAACTCCTGTACAGAAACCATGCCAGCAATAATGAGATGCTATGGAATTGTAGGTCTTTTTTTTTCTGCTCTTCAAGTGGCTTCTAGCAGACCATATGATAGCTGCTCCTAATCAAATCAGATGAGACCATTCAAAACCTGCAATCCTCTACTTCCAGTGCAAGAAACAATGTTCTCAGAAACACAGCGTGCTACTGCAATTATAATCTTCTAGCAGTAGCTATTTGGGTGGACTCTGGGCTCCCAAACATAACATCACCACACCGGCAGCAGGGTTAGTATCCTTTAGGGGGAACAAACCAACGAAACTCTACATGGAAGACTGGAAGAAAGACCCTCAGCAATAAAGAATTTATCTTGGTGGTTTCTTTAAGAGCCAACATCTTGCATTTGAGAAAAGCACTTGACCTCCATGAGTCATACACATGTTTATTTATGCATGTTTATTTCCTGCATAGAGAATAATGTGTACCTTGGAATAAAACCCAGCTTTGAGAATATACTGAGACTATGGGTATTTGTCGTAATGCTATTGGCAGAATAATCCAAACCCAAATGCTCAAACTCAACCCTTCCAAAGACTTGCAGAGCACGAACTTTGATAAAACAAACTACTTTTAAAAATCTGCTTATAGCATGATTTTTAATTTGTGGTGTAGATAAAAGAGAGGTAGAAAGGCTTATCCCCTCAATATTATTTTTTTGTGCAGTATTTATAAAGTATCAGAAAAAAATCTATAGGCTTTTGGTGAAAATACCAGCTTTTCCTCCAAGAGTTATATGGAATATCTTCTTTCCACTGAAGTGCCACAAGCTAAACAACTGGAATCTGGTTCAGAAAAGCTCTTCTTCCCATTAGCTTCATGACATCTTTTGTGTTACTGAATTCTGCTTTTAAGAAGTTATTCTGGAAATACTCCTATACAGGGCTCAAAAATATCTAGCAGATACAACCTATCCAAAAAACTACATTTACCAGCCAAATAATATCAAGCCCACTCCTAAAAAGAGCACTCACTCTTGCTTTACTTACATGATTCCTCTTATTCATGCTATTGAGATGGAGAAGTATGGAAGGCCTTTTGGCTCTTCCCCCCTCTTTGTGATGACCACAGGTATGAGCAGCATCATCACTCTGGCTGATAATAGCTACAGAGCTTCCTAAGGCAGCTTCTCTTCCTCCCATGATTCACCCTCTGCAGCATGAGGATGGATGGTGCTTTAGGGACGAACACTCCTCAAAAGGGTAGGAAAGACGACTTGACCAGGAGAGACAGCTTAAGAGAAACCACATTGGTAAGACAAATACCCATCTTTTCCTGGTGTAAGACCAGCCTGCAGTGCTAAAGTTTTTATGACTGTCACTAGACAAAGGAAAGAGATGGAAACATTTTGGGTACCACAGCTGCAGTCATCAAGAGTGTGATCCAGACTGCAGTGCATCCCCCACTGAGCCAAGAGCCTTGAACTGAGCAGTGCCAGGAAAAGGCAAGTCAGAGACAAAAGGGTGGAATCTGGCAATAGGGGCTCCGTCCCTGATCCCCAGTCTAACTGCACTGGGAGACCTGATGGATCTGAAAGAGAAAGACCTGCATGTTGCCATTTTGGGGAGCACAGGGCTGGAGCATTACTGCTCCATTACTGCATTACTAAGGGAGCAGCAACTGTTAAAGGGTGGGACTTGAGCCATGAAAGTCAGATTGCTGCATGGCAACCTTTAATTTACTCAGAGAAAGTTAAATACATTAAATTAAATTTGGCCAAAGCAGATGCTAGCTTATTCATTAAAAAGATCAGCTTTCTCTTTCCTTCAGCCAGCTTTAGAGACAGGCAGCTCCAGGAGCAGACCACCATTCCAACTCAGCTGGACAAGAATAGCTACATAGAGACGGTTAGGGTGACTCTCCTGCAGCAATACCAGCCACAAGAAGACCTGGCTGGTCCTAGGAATGCCCAGCAAAGGCATGTGAGCATAGCATTGTTGCCTGCTTGCTCTCTACACTTCTTGCCTCACACAGGTCTTCTCCCTCCAAATAAACCACATGGGACAGTGGAAAATGATTCTTCGCTGCCAACATTGTCTCCTATTGTTGTCCTTTTAAGAAATCTATTAATTGATTAGTACAAAGAAGTATTTACTTAATTTCAAAGAAACCAATACTGCATTGCAAACATATAACTTGTCATTTTCTGATAGACTTGGGTAAGGAAGCTTGTATACAGTAACAGGGTCATGTTCACAATACACGCTGGAAATGTTTTCCTTCTTTCGGTTGCAGCATTATGAAACAACTAATGCTACGGTACTGAAATAATCAACAGGCACACTTTTCCATTTTGCCTGTCCTATCTGTCTTCAATCCACTTCCCTTCAACAGCATGCCTAAAAGCACAGTCACATAAATAAGAGATGTGTTGCTTTCAGCCACACATGCTTTATACACAGTCTATTTTGTCTCTTTTCTTTTGTTCTCTGGAAACATTATTCCCATTAACTTCATTCTCAAAATATGATCCACCAACGTCAAGAAAAATTCAAGTACAAACCCAACAAGTACAACACTGTTGCTGGGTTATGGGTCAATGTAAACTGACCAGAGTCAATGGCAACCTAAAATTCACTTACAAAAGTAAGGATTGTTCGATTAGATTTGCTGACCATAGAAAGCTTCTTTCATATAAAGAAACCTAATTAAACTCATACAGTTTGGAGACTGAAGATTTGCTGGGCACAAGACATAGTCCATGTCCTTTGGAAGTAAATGGAACTAATAGCCATCATCATCATCCACATCACAGCCATAATCTGAAATACACAAAGACAAAGGGATATAAAAAATACAATATGCCAGCTAGATACAACAGAAGTATTGCTACTTTCAGGTTGTTTTTCCACTTTGTAACTAGATGGTAAGTTTTGTCTTAATCAAACATTTAAAAAAAAATCATGTATTTTCTTACGGCTAAATAAAAAGTTCGTGCATGTACTTCCCTCAATGAAATAAAGTTATTTGTAGGCATGTATGTGCAAATATCTCTTCTGACTTGTCACTGGGGCCTCATTTAGGAATACTTGACACATGGATAAATGAAATATTTGGTTTAATTTGGAGGTTAAGCTGATCAAGCCTGATTGTCACAAGTAATTTGGAACATGGTGGCTGATAAGCAGCAGCATACAAGTAGGCACGGTCCTCACTAGACACAGCCACCAAGAAAAAAGCTGATTTGTTTACATTATTCATGAATTCATAAGCTGAAACTACAAGGGTTCAGAGACAGCTCAGAGTTCCCATCAACATCAAAGGAGCCGTGCCACAAATCCTGACCAACACATCTGACTCAGATCTCCAGTATCTACTTCTAGAGGAGCAGCTTAAAATTTTGCCTAGATTTTTTTTATCCAGTTTTGTTTTCTTCAACAATGCTGAGTGCGGAGACTGTGTGATGTGTGTATCAGAAGGTAAGACTGCGTGTTTCTAACACACCAATTTCCCTTCTGTGCGCTATGATTCTGAAGGCAGTGAATCAGGTATTTTCTGTTGTGCAGTCTAACCTGTGGATAGCCATTACATACGAGTATTCATTAAAGTTAACCTTTATATTCCAAACTCAATACGGTGCAACCAACATTTCATCCAAAGAGGGAAGCAAATGCTCGGAAGCAGAATTAAATGTAGTTTGTAATAATTTGGGTAGAATGGGTAAAGTTCACCGTCTGTAAATCCTGCAGTTATTCCAGGCAGATGGGTCTAAAATCTATGATGAAAGCAGTTAGAAAGGAGTTATTTGTTTTCCCGATAGCTCTGCACATGTGTGTCTCAATGCTGGGAATACTCCTTTCCTTTTCATTTTTATTGGTTTTTAACTCTTGACTTTTCAGCTGTTGTCCAGACCAGACAGGGAGCAGTGGAATGTTCTCAGAATGGTTTAAAGATAGTAACATTTACAAAGAAAAAAAAGCTCAGTGACCTTTATTCTATTTTTGTGGGGGGGTTATTAATAAACATGGACCCACCCTCCCCCACACGGGTGCCTTTTCTTGGGAACATTATTCTAATAATAAATGGAGGCAACAAACTGTTTTTCCTACAGTTCAGCAATTATTTTCCAGTGGAGAAATCAATTTAAAAGCAACAGACACTTTTGTGAAATGTATACATATTGTCCATGAACACTGAACTGATAGCACTGGAAAGATTTTTGCAATAAATAACATTTCAGTAGGAAACTTACTCTCATCTTGTTTTTCACAACCCGTAATTGGCAGCTCTCACTTAAAAAAATATTTTTGTGTATTTTCAAAGCTTAAGCTCCTATAGGGAAGTTTTTAATAAAGTATAAATGTGGATGTGTCCGGTTAGGAAAAAACCCTGCCTTTTCCTGACACCAAAGAAACCTAAATTAAATGAGTGGCTTTTTTGGGTAACTCAAAGAAATTAGCACACATCTGTGTACCATACAGCATGTCGTATGCTGTCAATGTGACTTCTGTACTTGGTGAAGAACTACTTCCTCCTAACACTTTCCCCAGAAGTGGACTGGACCCATTCATTCTGTTTTGAGCTGGACAGCCATGTACCCAGGGCTCAGGGACTATTGGATGTTGCTGCAGCCCTAGCTGAGGAAGGAGGCAGGAGCATGACAGCTTGGCCTGGGAGGCAATGAGCCACAAGCACTGCTAACGGAAGGGTCACTGATTCTGTAATTCCTCAGATCCATGCTAATAAACCTACTTCAGAAAAATGTGTATAACATCAGTTTGCTTCTAAGAAATCCTCTTAGCCTAAAGGTCAAGAAGCAAAGTTTTCTCAGGAACAGTCTCTAAGAAGGTCAGGTTTTGGACAAAGGTGACTCCAGGCTTTCCCACAGGAATGGGCAATGCTGGAAATGTGGCCATAGCTCTGCACAGGATGAGATGCCACAGAACAGGGACATGCAGGGAAAAACCTGTCTGTCCTCAGCCCTGAAACAACAAACCCCACAGCATCAGTAGATAATAATTTAGGCAGCAGTTTACCGTTTCCTCCCATTAACTGCAAGGCGCTCATGCAGTGATCATCATCATCTTCTACTTCTTCCTCTTCCACCTCTTCATCAGGGTTGTAAGCTACTGGGCCACTCTCCACTAGCACAGCTGCTGCTTTTCCTAAGCCAGGGGCTTCTGCTTGTGCACTTGGAAAAGTCACCTGCAAAAAAGGGAAAGGGACAGTAGAGCAGCCTTTCCTTTTGTTCAGTATTTGTATAAAACTTCAGCAGCTTCCAAATGATAGGACAGGAGAACTGGAAGACCATGTACAGTGCTAGAGGCTTAGCTGTTCTAGGAGACATGCAACTTGCTCAAAGAAATGTTGCCTGAATGAAAGTCAGGCACAAAAATCCAGTTTTCACATAATTTATAGCCAGGTAACTGAAATATTCAGAGATGGTGACAGGAGAAGTAGGATCCTCTTGCAAGCACAAGGTAAGGAGAAATCTGGGAATGAAGACTCCTCAGTAGAGCTCTGGGTAAAAACCTACAACCTTTTCCTCATTGTGCTTGACTCACATCAGGCCTATTACATAATAATAATACTATTGACACTTTAATGACAGCAAAAATGTACCCTTCAAATCAGAAAAAAAACCAGTATGTATTGGTTTTGACAGCTCTTGGGTTGGTTTTATTTCAAGTCACAATGAGATATGGAGCAAACAGCACTTAACATCATGGCAGAGCACTAGGTTGATAATACACACCAGCACCAGTAACATTACCTATGAAATTCATCAGAATAATGATCTCCAAAGACTAACTTGGGAACTGATCATTAACGGAACCCATTCAGTATGTGTACCTCCCCAGTTAGCTGTTCCAAGGTTAGGCAGGACACAGCAGGGAGGGTGAAAAGAGGCAAGACTGCAAGAAATCAGAGGTGAATTAGGAGAAAGTAGTATTCGCTCTGGTTCAATAATGACAGATCTGGGAATGGGGCATGAAGCAGCAACACAGTCTGCCCCAGTACAGCACAGGCTCTGGTCTCTCTGAAGTTCTCACTTCCACAGTGTGCTCACTCTTGGGCTGTATCTCCCTCTCTCATCCAGGGAAGAATTACCACAGGAGCTTTGGTCCCTGCTTTACAAAAGAAATTGTAGACAGAGAAGGACCACAAAGATGATCAAAGGACTGGGAAGCCGTGTCAGGAAAGGATGAAGGAGCTAAGCTTGTTCAGCCTTGAGAAAAAAAGGCTCAAGGGAGACCTTATCACCAAGTTCCAGTATTTAAAGGGTGGCTACAAATAAGATGGAGATTCCCTTTTTAGAAGGAGTCATATAGAAAAGATGAGGCGTAATGGGCACAAGACTCCCAGGAAGATTCCCGCTGAACACAAGAGGAAAAATTTTCACAATGAGAACAATCAGCCATTGCAATGATCTCCCCAGGGAAGGGGTGGATTCCCCAGTGTTGGACACTTTCAAGACTCAGCTGGACAGAGTGCTGGGACATTTAGCCTAGGGCATGCTTTTTCAAGAAAAGCTGGACCAGATCATCCTTGAGGTCCCTTCCTACCTGATAGTCTATGATTCTGTGATTCTTCATCTCCATCAGCTTTGTAACAGTGTACTTTTCACATCTGTTCTGTACTTGGACTATTTGGGGTTTCTACACTACAGCCTGTGGCCCAAAAGGACACCCCATTAATGGCAACTTGAAGAACACTGAAGATTAACCATTAACACTGTTACGTCATGCACGTAATTTTGAGAAGAGAATACTTAACAGTACTGTCACTACTCAGCAGTTACCAGCACTGAGAGTCATCTCCTCTACTAGGAAAGAAGGAAATGATCAGGACTGCTTTCTTGGGAAGAACAGTGGTGAGGTGCTCCTCAGAATCAGTGGTCTGAAGGAGACCAGGAAACCCCAGCTTGTCTGGTCCCCACAGTACTTTAGGCTTTAAATTACAGTATGGAACTGTGTACTGCTGCATCTTCTGCAGTTCTATTAGCAGTAAGTTCTGATTTGGTGTCGTTAATGTATTTTTATTTATTTATTTATAAATGTATTTACATCGGATGCAGTAACTCCCAGAATCCCTGTAACTCCAGGCACTTCAGAGGTACACCACAAGAGAAAATCCCTGTACCAGAAAGTTGATAGTCTAATTATTCAAACATCAAAGCAGTACCTGAATGTGTCATATACCATGACAGTCAACCTAAAGAATCTGCCTGAGTTTTTCAAAGTCACCTAAGGGTTTGCTCCAATAGCTCATTAATAGGGCAAAAGACACCCATTAATTTCAATAGAAAATCAAGTATTTAGATATTCAGACCACTCAAAGACAGGTTTTCATGATTTTTAATGCTCAAATTAATCATATTATTTAGAGGCACTTCCCTCCAGTTTATATTTCCTACCACTGCTTTTTCCTCTAGAGTGATCAAATTGAATCTATCTAGGTTTTCAGTATAAACAAAAATAGATGCAACAGTTTGAGAGGAATCAGCATCATAATATATATCAATTTATATGCTTAAAAGTATCCATCTGCTCTGAAAAAGTGGGTGAATATAAAGGAGCTACAATTGAGTCATTATTTTTTAAAATCGCACCATGCTAATTAAAATGTGACCTTCTTCTAATTATCCTGTCCACTTCCAGACAGCTATACTTCTGAAAATGTGTAGAGTTTTCTAATGAGCACAGCGTAAGAAGTGAAAATGTATTTCCCCAGGCAGGATATCAGGCTGCTTCGGAAAATCAATGGGTTTTAGTAATTTTAAAAATAAGGTAGTCAAATAATGCCTTTAAATAGAACTTCCTGAATTCACTTCCAGACATCCTGGACTTGAGTTTTGCACATATATTTATGAGTGGATGGACCACTGGCAAAGCACATTAAACTCCCCAAGGTAACTGGTTCACTTTCAAAAGGGTGTCAGTGTCACATGTTCATGGGGAAAAAGTAGGACAAATATCTTTGTTTATTAGGAGCAGAATTTTAGATACAGAGTAGACAGTTATTCTATCATACACAAAATGCTTATGTCTACTCTGTACAGTGTGAAAATAATAGTGAAAGAAAGCAGTTATCACAGTGACTGATAACAATCAAGATCTCTTCAGGAGAAAATGCAAGTGCACAAAGCCACCCATAGAGGGTTTCTGGTGGTGGCCAGTTACTAGCTCTAACTTTTCTATGGCACTATTATATTTTCAAACTAAACAAACAAACCAGCCAAGGAGTAAGCCATGCTATAACTATAAGCTGTCACTTTGTGTTTCCTCCCTGGCCTCCTACAGAAGCCCAGCCCTTCCTTGGGTCCGTCGCTGGCTGAACAGAAGCGATGTTTTGCATCACCCCCCTTCTCTGCGGGGACCATCTAAGTGCTGAGAAACAGGCACAAGCTCTGCCCTTTCCTACTCACCAGTTCGATATATGCCTTTTTAGATGCTTGCAGGGAGGTTTTTGCGCTGTCTAACCAGGTATTATGAGGCTGTGCTAATATTACTGATGGGTAAGAAAGGGCATATCTTGGTTAGAAAACAGGCAACCTTAGCTTGCAGTGTTTGCAGTGACTAGCTCCCAGTCTGATCAGAGAAGCAAGACTCACTTCTTTAGCCCTTATGTAGCACATAACCAGAGCCAGGTTGTGGGAATTTCCAGACTCAAACTGCTATATTAGAAGTGCTGGACTCTACTTACCTCTTCAGTGGCAGCCTTTTTAGCAAGCTGTGTTGAAATCAAGGGTCTTAATCTGCAAACAAGGGAATATAAAATGGTGAATATCAGAAAAGTTATACCATGCACAAGAGTTTGAGAGAGTATTTATCCTCCAGACAGTGAAAGCACTTTGCCAGTTTTATGTTGTGCAATTACTTTTTTAAAGATATAAGTGTGGGCAGCCACAGATTCCACAATAATTAATACACACATTCCCTTGTAAGCATCTGCCCCAGTTCCAGATAATAAGAAAAGATGCTAGTCAACAAGCACAGTAGCAAGATCTCATCTCAAACCGCAGCCTGAGCCCATCCTGAAGGTCTCTGAAATAGATGTAACGTTACAAAAGTCAAAAGACAACTGATTTTTTTGGAAGAACACAGCCCTGGTAAAACCAAGCTACATTCTGAAATGCCTGGCACCACTCTGCAACTGCTTCCCTGTGATTGATGATATAGACAGGATACCCAATAAGATTATACATGCTGGGTATCAAAATAATCACAGGCAAAATTATACTTCCAGCTACAGAAATCACCATCAAAACCAAGGGCACCCTGCATCCTTTGAATGAGAAATGATAAAACCTCAACATAAACACTTTGAAAAATGTTGCATATGAAAAAGACCTGCATATACAGGGAGGAAAGACAGATCAGTATTACTTTACAGCTAAGTGTTAAATATCATTCTTTCTGAAAAACATTTCATAACCTGTTGTCTCCTTACTGTCATGAAGGCTGCTCTCAATCCATCATTTAGTGCTGCTTTCTGGTCTTTTCATCTAGATGTATCTAGTCATGAAGAGAATGACTTGCTTTCTACTGAAACACAGCTCAGACAGCTTTTCAAGTATGCCTTTTAACTAAGTCTAGGCAAACAACTTAATGAATACCAATTTATGTCTCCAGAGGTAGAGTCTTTTATGATAAACAGTATCTTTCCTCTCATTTTTCTATTAGTCATTCCTCCCTGTTCACACAGTTACTGGTTGTCTTCCTTCCTATCTACTTTAAATAATCAGCAGGAGGAAACAAAACCCCAAAGAATAAGCAGGGGAGACTCACATCATTATCTCTGATGGAGAAGACAGTATTAAAACACAGGATATTGTCTAAGCTCCAAAAAACTTAAAAAAACTGGTCATCTCTGAAATGCTTTGCAAGACCCAAAAGGCATTTCAGCAAACAAAGTAGTCCAAGATGCCTCCTTACAGTAGATCTAAACAAAAAGAATCCACAGGAAGGCTTCACGAGCTGTACCACTGAATGATACAGACCACATTATTCCACTACAGATACTTCTTGTCATATTTCATAATTATAAAAAATTTAAAGAAAGAAATACTCTTGACCCACATAAACTATCTCTTACTTACAAATCCTGGTGGAATTCTGAGCTTAGACAGAATGCATCTGAGGGCATGGACACGGTGCTCCCTATGTGCCTGGCCTCTTTGTTTAACCCGAATTGTAGAGTTTTCACAGAATCACAAAACGGTTTGGGTGGAAGGAACCTTTAAAGGTCATCTAATTCCAACCCTGCTGCAATAAGCAGGGACATATTCAACTCGATCAGGTTGCTCACAGCCCTGTCCAACCTGATCTTGAATGTTTCCAGGAAAAGGACATCTGCCACCTCTCTGGGCAACCTGTTCCAGTGTTTCACCACCCTCATAATGCAAAATACTTCCTTATAAAAATTTCCTAAAATTTGAGCCATCCTATCTATAGTCAATCACTGTTTTCCAAAAGTCACCCTGTTCGGATGCTTACAAGCATTCAGATGTAGCAATGTCAAAAGGTTATGTAGCTGAGGGATGCTAATTACCAAACAGGTTGTATTTCATTGACATGACTGAAAAAAAAACCACCCTACCAGGGGTAAGTAATGAAGGACTTTTATTTTAAACCAGTAGTAGTGATTATTGCAATTAACACTGTACCAAAGATAGCACCTATTTCCTCCTACTACCAAAGACATCAGACCTCCCTGGAGCACCCTGAAATCCTTCCTCCCCCCAATTAAAATCAAGCTGTTGAGTAAGACTCACAAGGTAATCAGAAACTGCTGACATTTCTTTTAGAGCAAATTATACATGTGCTCACAGAGTGAAGAAAACAATCACAGCTATAGGAAGCAAAGAGTAAACATTCCAGTTTTGTTTTAATTAAAATGGTCCCCTATTGAAAATAAAAAGATTCATGCTTATGAAAAGCCTATTTGCACACTTTAGTGTTAAATCCAAGAGCTTTTTTATACAATTTTTCAGCAGCAACTGACTCTCACAGCCAAACTGAAACTAAAGCTGTATTTCTGTTCCATGATAATTACTCACAAAACACACAACTTCACCACTAGAAATACAGTGCTGCCATTTGATTTGGGCAATACAATTTCTCTCTCAGCATAGTATCAAATGCATCCTGAAGCAGCGAGTTGGATTCTCCTCCTTCTCTGGCTGTTCAGCATCTGCTGCATGGTAGATCCAAAGGGGTCACCTGCAACGTCTCAGCTCGCTGTGCCTCGGTACTATGTCCTACCTACAAAAGGTAGCAATGAAAACTGGAATAAAAGGTAAAACCATCTTAAGGATACACAAAAACTTACCTCCCTCTGAAATAATGTCTTTGATTAAAATATCCGAAAAGTTATAAATGTATAAAAAGACAAGTTAAATTCTCATCCTTAGCTCTCCTTACACCTATGGAGAATCCCATTATTATGTACAAAACAGTGGGGTTTTGTTTTGCTTCTTAAATGCCCTGATGCCCTGACCCTTAAACCAAAGCAGCTGCTACCACACCAGCCATATGGAGCAATAAATTACTGGCTGCCATGGTTACAGATATGGGCTCCTTCTGCTGTCTGGCTGCACCACAGAGGGTAGAAATAAGTGTCCTCACGGAAGAACATGACTGCTTTTGAGGCTGGGATAGGCCTGAGTATTAATGATCAAGAAAGCACCTTGAAAAAAACAAGTAACTGAAGTATCTTGTCCAACTTTCAATGTGCATGAAAACCTCATCTGTAAAAGGCTACGAAGGTACCAATGAGCACGCGCACACCGTAAGTGAAAAATCCTGTCCATCACAGTCCAGTTTTAACTCAGGGTTGCCAAGTTCCATAAATAACAATAACATCCTGCATTAAAATATGATCCCATATATGCTAAAGTACCAACAGTCTCTATTGAAAATGCAATGTTGCAACTGGTCTTCCCAAGTGTTTCAGCAGTTGTTCACTATGATGATTTCTAGTTTGGGGCACTTTCATTTGCACATTAACTTTGCAAATTAATACAATACCTCACACGAGGCAGTAACAGAACAAGCAACATTCTGAACAGCAATATGATCCGTAAAAGCAGAAAGAAAAGATTTCACACAGCCCCAAGTGTTATATCCACATTTCAAACTACTTCAAAAATTATGCAGCTCTACAAATGCTCATGTCAGCCAACACACGTAACAGATAATCTTGACATGTTCATGACAAAAACTAATGGCATTGTACATGGCATCGGAGGCTGCTCCCTGCTGAATTCGCTCCGCTCTCAGCTGAGATGTGCATGGTAACGTCTAGGTTTGTCTTCCGGCTTAACAATTTAAAAGAAGATGTAATATAATAGCACCTGACAGGGCAGGAGATCACACAGACTAAACTTTCAAAGCCAGCAAATTCTCTGAAAAACATGCTTGCTGTGACAAACAACTGTTTTTATTTTGCTTATTATTTAATAACAGAAGATTACATAGCATAGTACATAAAATAGAAAGAGCACTGTGAGGTAACAAAACCATCTCACTTGCATCAGGCTGTTCACCCACCAAAAAGGTTTACAATACCATAACAATCTCTTCAGTGCAATCCTGCAAGTAGTTTTGAAACTCACTCAAAGCTCTGTTTCTTACTGAATTTTAATTTAATCCATCCAAGTAGGGAACATCTTACTGCTGCTTACTGCCCATACTAATTTTATACATGGATGATCCCAGAATACGTGATGCAAAGCAGAGATACAACGGAGCCTACAGCCACAAGCCAGCAGTGTAATTATGCAGGTCATCTAGACAACTGCCCATAAAACCTGAACATTCATACCACAGGCCTTTCATATGTATGTCACTTCTGTGACAGAAAAAGCTATTGAGAAATGAGTGAGCAGAGCCCAGTCAGGTTCTCCAGGCTGGCTGAGATCCTCCTCCCACCTGAGGCCAGATGGTTTTGCCTCAGGAGGTCAGTTTACCAGACATCTGCGTAAGAAGGAAATAAATATAAATGTTTATCCAGGCTAAAAGTACCCTTTAATTAGGTACTGTCAATGTTATCCTTACCGGAAAGCTGGGAATTACCTCCCTGCAAGGATTTAATGCTCTTGTTAGAAACACAACAACATCAGGAGATACCGACCCACATTTCTGCCACAAAGTCAGGACAAAGGGGTGACCCTCCTGGAGTCAGACCACTGATCTCTTTTCCACAGAGCAAAACAGAGATTGCAGTCATGACTGTGACCCCAGAGCTCTTTGGGGATCCCACTGCCCTCTACACCTGCTTCTGGCTGAGAGCTGGGTGCTCACAAGAGCCATTCCCTCCCCAGGAAACTGAGGCTCATGGCCAAGACCATGGCTGGTTGTGACACCAATGAATGGCTGCATGATGTCTTGAAGACAGGGGCTAGGGTGTAAGAGTACACTGTAGCACACCAGAAGAAGTCCAGGTACAACCACAGACAACTTCAAGCTGCAAAGCAAAACAACACATCTTTGATGCTCACATCTTGAAACCCCAAATCACACCTTTTTTCCCTGAATCACATTCCTCAGTGACAAGGCCACAGAGACCCCAACCAATGGCAAAAGAGACCAGATGAAGGGCCTGTCCACATTGCAATGGGCTCAGCTCGCACACAGAGAGGTCTCCTGGAGCTGGCTAACCCCACTGCTGCCAGCTGCACAAATGTGACTGATGGAGCAGCAGGCAGGGTCCGAACCCTCCTAGACACTACTAGACACCTGGCCAGCAAGACTC